TATGTATATAAACAACACACTTTGACGTGGAAACCAAATCGGTGAAAACCACGGGCCTTTTTTGGCGGTACCATGCCAACGGGGATGTTTTATTGTATATTGGGGGTATATTTATACATCATATCGACGTGACCGCCATTGATGGAGCTCGAAGCTCCATCGAGAAGGAGAAGATGAACGGGGTGAATATAATAGGTGGGGGATGTAGAAGCTGGGCTCCCCCTTCTTCTTGGTTATGTGTCTCTTATATAGCGTCAAGGTAGGAGCCTAGGGTTAGGGTTCCCTAGCGGGCTCCTCGCGTGGACCGGCCCAATATCTTTAATTAGGCCCAAGGGATATTATCCCATCACAAGCCTCCGAGTTTCTGAGTGAACGCGAAGTGTTGACTGAGAAACTATAATTTGTTTTCGTCTCTATTAATTTCTTCAATCGACACTCTCTTACACCGAAATCCCTTGAAGTTTCTGTCAGTGTAGGCATAAATCTTGACTCCTTAAGTTTCTCTTCTTTTAATACTTAAAAAATTTAAAAACATCACACTTGCCTCGTCAAGCGACTACGAAGTCCATGAGACGGCTTCGTTGTGTTTCGAGGAGAGGACTTAGGAACCTCAAAAGATGAGGGATTTGGTTGCCTCGCGAGGTGGTTTAGGGACCGACCTCAGGGGGGGGCTTTATTGAAGCCTCCTGAGGTGGTTTTTAAACCGACCTCGGGAGAGGGCTTTTATGCCTCGTGGGACGAGGACTTAATTGGAGCCTAGCGAGGTTGTCTTGGACCGACCTCGAGCGAGGACCTTTGATAAATATCTCTTGGGAGGTTGTATCGTAAAGATTTGGTTGGGTGCCACTTTTGTGGGCTTAGATAGGCTTTGCCTATTGTTTTATTTGTTGCATCAATGACTTAGGAGAACGCACCCGCTGATCTTGGGATGTGAATTCTTAGGACTTAGCCAAATTTAGCGCTCCCGTAGTAATTTTCACAATGTATGCTTTTGCCGTTGTCCCAAAGGTTTGAGTTTCTTATGACGTGACTCCTTATTAGTTCGGAAGTTTGAACATCAAACTCTTATGGACCAAAGATTTGATGATGCAATGTTTGGTGCGGGCCTCACTTTGGTCATATTCAGTTTTTTTTGTTTCGTGAGCAAGTGGCTCAAAGAAGTTTCCCACTTGTGAGCACGCGGCTCGATGATATCTTCTCTTTCCCTTTTTTATTTCATTTTCCACTATCAGGCTTTTTACAAAGAAACATGGTGTATTAGGCCCAAATTTGGTAAATGGCCCAGAGCTTAACCTTGCACAATGGAGGAATCTGGGGATTGTGATTGGAGGCCATGCGACCCAGGTGCTCACTCAATGATCAGCGGCGGTCAGCCATAAAGTGACCAACGGCAATCAGCCTTGAGGTGAGCTACGGTGGTTATCTGTGAGGTGAGTGCAGCATTCAACCACGAGGCGAACAGGGGCAGCCAACGGTGAGTATGACCGGTAGCATAGTGTGCTCCAACCAGAGGCGGACCCACCTTGTAACGCCCCCAAAAATAGGCCTATCAGAGTTAATTAATTTATAATTAATTAATTACTGAGAAGGACCCAAAAATAAGTAAATTCTAAAGTTTGTCAATAAATAATGAAAATCATATCATTATGTAGAGTTTGACTGTCTGATCCCAACGGTTCAATCGGATTTCAATTTGGAGAAAGTTGGAACAAAAAGTGTACCCTAACTGGGACCAAATATTAGTCGCAATCAGGGACTACACACCAAACGGCGCCCTGTTCAATTACGCCGATTCCAAATCGCCGCACAATCACGGAAGTAACCAAGCCTGTGTCTTCTTCTTCTCCACTGGCCTATTTAAGCATAACTCAACTCCCTGAATTCCTCACCAAAAACATTCATTCTTCCTCCTATATTGTTCC